TGACCCTCCAAATTGTTGTAAGACTTATGTTATGTCCCAGCCAAAGTTCCATCTCGGATTGTAATTCATACAAATACCAGTCAGGTTTTTCCTTCATTAAAGCTTTAAGATATTTTATATCGTTTGTGTTTAATGAGCGTGGTTTTCTTGGAAGTGGTGGGAGTTTTTCAACGCATCCATAGTTTTGAGAACCCGACTTACAGAAGATATGCTAACACTTAAGTGCTCGGCGATTATTCGATATGATAGACCTTCTAAATTTTTTTCGACAATTTTCCAACGAAGTTGCGTTGAAAGTATCATATTTTGGATTCAACCAAAAATCCAATAATCGTATAATATTTACATTAGTCACCTGATTTTAAATTACATAGATATATCAATTTATTGAATATATTATGCCGCAATAACAAACATAATCGAATCGGCCGTAACATCATTCGGTCAATTTTTATCAGGTGTTCCAGGTATAATGAAAATAGCTGTAATAGTTAAATCCGGATTTAATCATTAAATCCGGATCCAAGTATTAACTCTAATCCGGTGTGAATAAATATAGTTGTTAGTCTAAACTTTTTAGTTAGGAATTCGAAACAGAAAGTGCCGCAACTTTTTAATTAGAAACTATAATTATTTGCAAATAAAAACGTTTAGTGAGGTTCTCAAGAAACTATAGGTTTCCTAGTGGTTCGCATGGTAAATTAATATCAATATACCAATAAAAAATCGTAGAAACATTTCAAGAAAAGATGGAATTTCTGTTTGTGCGACCTTACAGTATTCGAAATGCACGTGGCCTATAATTTGTCATATAAATACAAAAATAGATGCTTATCTTTTTTCGAAAAAATTGGTGATTTAAAACCGATTAAAAAGTAATCTAGCATTGAAAAAATGAAAATTCCAAGCTATGTATCGAGTTTTTTGCAGGCGATCATTATTTAATCTTAATATTTCAAGATATTATTATTCGACAAAGAAAAATGAGTTAATAGATCACTTTACGAAATCGATTAGGGTAATTTTTAGATAAAGGAATGATCTATAAAATTTTCATTTCATGAATTGATTGAAAAATTTTTTCATTAGGCAACAGGACCTATATCAATTGCACAATATATGAAAGAGGTGCTGACAAGTTCTCTTAGTGGTTACTATATGGTGGGTGATGTATTTGGTAGGCAAGGAGATTTTGTTACATCTCCTGAAATCAGTCAGATATTCGGTGAGGTGATTAATATTTTCCAATTCATTATGTTTATTTATTCATAATAAAACCGTACATTATTTTATATATGCTTTAAATTCTTAGTTGATGGGAATATGGTTTATGACACAATGGCAAAGTCAAGGAAAACCAGACAAAATCCAAGTTATAGAATTAGGTCCAGGAAGAGGAACATTACTTTATGATATGCTTAATGTAAAAGAATTCATTATTCGTATTGATACTTTTTTTAAAGCTTAAAAAAATATTAATAATATTCTAACAACCAAATTTTTTAGGCAATGACAAACTTTAATGATTGTTTTCGATCAATATGTGAAGTACACTTAATTGAGGTAAGCCCAAAGTTACGAGAAATTCAATATCAAAAATTATGCAGCTCATCAAGAAGCACATTTGATGGATTGAAATTTTTTTGGCATGATACATTTAATGAAATTCCTGGTATTATATGAAATTTTCAATGTATTACATTAATCCTATTTATTAAAAAGAAATTAACTTTTTATAACAAATCTAATAGATAAATGGTCGATGATTATTGCTCATGAATTTTTTGATGCATTGCCAATTCATCTTTTTGAAGTAATTATTACTAGTTATTTTTTTTGAGCAGTGCACGTCAAATAAATTAAACATTATATAAATATTTAAAATATTTACAGCGCGCATCAAATGGTTGGCGTGAAGTTATGGTTGACATTGATGACACAAATAATAGGTAATAATGTTAAATTAATTTTATATGATTTATTACATTCATAAATCAATTACACTATTTTATTGAAATAAAATTAATTTATTTTTGTATCGATTAGTCTTTATAATTTCCGTTTAATTGTGGCACCAGGTCCTACAAAGGCGTCTATTGCTTTCACTGGATCAATAGCATATGAGAAGTTTAAGATTGGAGATAGAATTGAAATATCCCCAGATTCAATGAAAATTTCCAAACAAATCGCAAAGCATATCAAAGGAAATGGAGGTACATCACTTATTATTGATTATGGACAAGATTTCATTCAAGGAAATACTTTGAGGGTGAGAGTTTTGTCGAATAAATATCTTTAGATTAATTTGAGAATAAAATTTTTACCCATCAAATTTTTAGGCAATAAAACGACATGAATTCGTTCATCCATTAAGCGATCCAGGACAAGCAGATTTAAGTGCTGATGTGAACTTTCGTTATTTAAAAGAATCAGTAGCAGATTTAGGTAATTCAGTTCTGTATATAGATGTTATGTTTTCGTTTTTATTAAATAACGTATTTATTTATTAGTCGACGTGTATGGTCCTGTAACCCAATCAAAATTTCTTCAATCACTTGGTATAAAAGCTAGATTATTAATGTTGTTAAAGAACGCATTGCCTGCAAAACGTAAAGATTTAATATCTTCAACCGAAAGACTTGTTCACCCTTCAGCAATGGGTGAAATTTATAAAGTATTGGCTTTTGTGCCAAAGGGATCTTTAGAAGTACCTGTTGCTTTTGAAAAATCGAATGATTAAAATAATAAGATTGGATTATGCTACCTTTTAATGTCTCTTCATGTTAACTTTAAAAAACTGCTCGTATTCAATAATCGTTATAATTAAAACCAGCGCTCATTTTTATCTACCCAAAAAATTTACAGATCATGTGATGTCAAATCTTATTTATTGTCGCGGATGATCGTGAAATCGGATGATGGTGAAATTTGGGGGTCTTAATTTGAAAATATAAGCCCTA